TTTTTTTTTTTTTTTTTGAATGTAGATGTAGCCCCAGTTGAGAACAACTGTCAATGCTGCTTCTGAGCATCTCCATGCTTCTCAACCCAGTTCTGTTGCTTCCAAATAAAACTGCCTTGTGTGCCTGCTGCAAAGCCAACCTGGAAGGGTTGTGGCACATACATACATTCCTGCTCCATTTGGGCTATGATAAGCCTAAAGTGGGAACTGCCTTATGCTGAATTATCCCTCCCGGTCCCAAGAACAGAGGCAGGCAGCTGGAACTGCCCCATGTGCCTCCGTTTCCAGGAGGGGCATGGGAGTGACTAGACTAGGAAAGCTACAGCAGCCCAGCCCCTGCCTGTCTGAGGCTGATCAAAGCTCTAATGCAGCAAGAATGCATGCTGGGCAGTTTTACCTGGCTGCCACAGTGGCAGCAGCATCTGTGTCACAGCACTCCTAACAGGGACCTCTGGCACCCCCAGTTGAGAGCCACTGGACCACACCTACCTTGATTTTATTTAGTGTAAATCCAGTGGATTTAGGTCACATCATCTGGCTATGAACGTGCCGTAGTGCACAGAAACAGTGCATTTTCCTATGCTATTACACAACCTGCTATTCTTAAACCACAACATGTGTTTGTACTGGAAATGCATGTGTACCAAAAAGTTTGACTGCACCAAGCTGCAGAAATCACATAAGTCTGCTCTTTCCAATTTATACCATGTCAGGAGAAATCACAAGCATGACCAAAACTTCATTGACAAAACAGGTTCAACTAACATGCAAAACCTTTTCACTAGTAGGAACAGTCTAATTTTTAACAGTTTTTTTTGCACTAATTACAATCAATTCAGCCCCAATGTGGCACTTGCTGGAAATTCATGAGCAACATACATAATGACTTGGTTGATTTTGGACACAATGTTGTCATGAGAAAAGCAGAAAGACGTATGCTTCTATCTGGGGCTCTGCAGCTAGAAAAAAGTCAGTTTCCTGGTGATGTGCAGACTACATCTGAACTATTCTTTTCTCAAGTACACTTATAATGGCTTCTGTGGAGTCCTCCATCTACTAGAACCTCAACTCAGGAAAAACTGACTGTGTGACCAAGTGCTAACACTTCAGCTCACCACTAACCTGGTGTGTATTTGGCATATTCCTTACTGGTGGAAAAGGTAACTTCTCAGGTAAGAAGTATTTAAGAGAAATCCGGTCCACTTACAACACCCCTATGAAAAAGCTACATTTCTACAAACATGAAAAGAAGTGTTTGATTCAACAATAAAGTGATAACTTTTGTGGAACCGCAGCAACATCACTGGTAACAATCAGTGCAGTTGACATCATTAATGCCATGTACCAGCCAATTTTTAAGCCGCCAGTTTAGACCCCAAACCTAGTTTACGCAAGGATCTCTTACATGGAATAACATTCTCTATCTTATATTTTAACTGCAATCAAAGCTTTTTATTTTAAATATTATTCTATATCACTGTGAAGTCAAACACAAAGCAGCACAAAGCAAATCAGTATTAACAAAAGTGAAACTACCCCATTCTGTTTTGCTGCTTAAAATTGATCATAAGCTAAAAGTCAGAAGTGTGAATAAAGAGGCCTTTTAACAAATGTTTTTTTATAAGGTTACCACCTTTATTATTTCTATAGTAATATTATCCATTTAATAGTAAAACTGACAACTCACCCGGATGTAAGCACTCTGAAATTCTGCTAGCTCTTCACCGAGCGGAACAACAATTTTTTCCATTTGTCGCACATGAGAGTAAGGACGAATATCTGGGGAATCTTCAGAATATATCTCTATTTGTGCAATCAATAGGTTAGAAATAACTTGCTGCACAGCCTAGGAAGAAATCACAAGAAAAGAGTGCCTTACATGATGTATTTTTCTTCAAGTCACTCCCATATTGAAAATCAAGGATATGTGAAAACTACAATCCTAGACAGAACTGGGGAAACTATTTAGACTAGCAAAGACCTACAGATGGTACTTTTCCAACTATCTCTATTTTAGCTGGGAAGCATGATCTCGATAGACCATCAGCCACTGAAAATAGTCAGAACATGCCTTTCATATTATACAAGTCAGTAATTTTCAATGTTTTTCAGTTGCGGACCCCTAAAATAAATTTTAAATGGAAATGAGGATCCCATTGGAAACTTCAAATGGAGGTGTGGACACCTTTGAATTGTAAGTGTGGGTATTCACATACTTTTGATTGATCATAGTCATCTTTTGCAAACCGCTTAAGACCAGGGCTCAGCAATGTTTTGGGGCATAAGGCCAAAAACACCCACAACCTCGATCTGTAAGATTTTAGCATACTAGGGGTGGATGGCAGGAGAGTCACGAAGGGTCTGATCCTTGTGACAGCGCAGCCCCAGCCCCTTCCCTGCAGTCTGCCCCAAGGTGCATGTGTCAAGCAAAATGTCTGTGCATGCCACACTCTGGCACCTGTGCAGGAGGGCTGCCTACCCCTGGCTTAGACAATCTGAGAACTCCCAAGGGTCCGCACACCACAGGTTTAAAAACCACCAGTATAAGCAGTTCAACAACTGAAATAGAGATAAGAAAAAATGGCACACTTCTGAGAAATACTAGATTTTGAATTTTTACTCTTAAAAAAGTTCATTAAGAATTATAGTAAATTAGGGCTAGAAGGGACTTCAGGAGGTCACATCCAGTCCAATCCCCTTGTCAAGGCAGGATCATCCTTGTATAAACCATCCTAAACACAAGTCTGCCCAACCTGCCCTTAAAAACCTCTAAAAATGGAGATTGCACCACCTTACTAGGTAGCCTGTTCAAGTGAGAAAGTTATTCTTAAATTCCAAACTCATTTCCCTTGCCACCACTTAAAACCATTGCTCCTTGTATTGGCCCCTGTGGACACAGAGAATTCTTTCTTGAGATGTGGTGCCCAAAACCAGACCCAGTACTCCAGGTGAGGCCTCAACAGTGCCAAACAGAGTAGAAGGATCACTTTCTTTGATTTGACAAGAGACACTCCCCTCTTCTCTCCCAACCCCCAAACAGGGGCACAGTATTCACTATTCAGCTTATAGTCCACTTTAACCACCAGGTCACTTTTTTTTTTTGCAGTACTGCGTCCTAGGCAGTCGTTCCCCAGTTTCTATTTGCGAATATGATTGTTCTGTCCTAAGTCCAGGGCTCTGTACCTTATTGAGTTTTTTTCAGTTAATTTCAGCCCATATGTCCAGTTTATCAACATTATTCCAAATCCTAGCCTTACCCTCTAGTGTCTGCAATTCCACACGGTTTGGTATTATCTTACAAATTTCCTAAGTGTGCATTCAAAACATTTTTCAAATGATTATAGCAAATTATTAAAGACTTTGTACCAGCTGTCAAAGCACTCAGTTCTTCTAACTCCTCCAACCAAGTAGACCAATATACACATAAAGTCTAGACATGGAAATTGAGCAAGATTGGGAATACAGATACCTTGTTTCTCTGGAAATTAATTCAGAGAACCTGACTGTGTTTCTGTACAATACTGTTCCAAACCACTAAAAAGTTGCAGCCCTCACCTGAACCTATTGTTGCAATGATAAACGTTAGGCAAGCCCTGACCTCTCTCTCAGTGTTTTCTCAGATTAAATATATGAGGAATTTCTCTGAATTATTCTAGTGAAGGATCCTAGGATTTCAATTATAGTTTAGTATTATTAACATAATCGGAAAGTGCTTTTACAATCCAAAGAAGTAAGATGACTCAATCTGCATGTTAAACCACTTCAAGAAATCCTTGAAACTAAGTTCTCCTGGCAAACAGCAGTGCTTTTTATTTCTTAATTTTTCTCCTTCCTGTTTGCCTGGGTTTTATAAAATGCAGCATGCTTTATCAGGGATATCAACATAGTAAGGCTGTGTGTACAGAGTTGCTGAAATAACTACATGGGTCAGGTGTGAAGAGAAGCATGGTCTCTTTCTACTGGCATGGAAATTTTACCATGCCAATAGAAAGCACAGCATCGTTGGGATAGCTGCATCCTCAACTGAGGATGCTTCAGAGTTACAGTAACACCCATGTTGTGCTTTTAATATAGACATAGCCTAAATGTTTTTAGTTGTGCAGTGCCCTCACTGTGAAGGGTTGCATTGATAGAAGCGCTGCCAGCAGATCAAGGGGAGTGATTCTGTTCTGCACTGGTAAGGCCACATCTGGAGTCCAGTTTTGAGCCCTCCACTATAGAAAGGATGTGGACAAACTGGACAGAGTCCAGCAGAGGGCAACAAAAATGGTTCAGGGGCTGGGGCACATGACTTCTAAGGAAAGGCTGAGGGAACTGGGCTTATTTAGTCTAGAAAAGAGAAGACTGGGGGCAATTTTAATAGCAGCCCTCAACTACCTGCAGAGGGGTTCCCAAAGAGGATGGAGTTGGACTATTCTTAGTGATGGCAGATGACAGAACAAGGAGCAACAGTCTCAACTTGCAGCAAGAGAAATTTAGATTAGATATCAAGAATTCTCTCACTACGAGGGTGGTAAAACATTGGAACAAGTTACACAGAGAGGTTGTGGAAGCTCCATCCTTGGAGGTTTAAGACCTGGACAGACAAAGCTTTGGTTGCAATGATGCAGTTGGGGCTGGTCCTATTTTGAGCAGCAGGCTGGATTAGATGCAACTGCCCAAGGTCCCTTCCAACCTTTATTTTCTATGATTCTAATTATTCTGTTAGCACAAAGTATAGATTATTTTTAATTTCTTTCCAAGAGACAACATTAAAAACAGTTTCTATAGAAGCCTCTTTGTTAGTCCTCAGTCCACTAAACAAGTATTTGACTCACCTTTGTGTCGCTCCCTGGTGTGGCACTAAGAGCTAAGACTCGAAACTGATTGGTATATTTTTTTAGTTCCTTTACAACCTGACAAAAACAAGATGTAAATTAATATCTTCAAAGAGCAAGGTTTTCATTACAATAGTTCACATATGGAAATGTCAAATACAATGCAAGAATTCAACAACTTGTTCCCCACATATTTGTATCTAACCTAGTAACAGCATTGAACAATTTAGACATCAAGACACTTTTACTTGCATTCAGTACACTAGCTGCAAAATTCAGCATATGGATTTACACCATGCTAGCCAAAAGGCAAATTTGAAAGCCAGCATTTCCCAGCTGAGGGTTACAAAGTTGAACTGGGGATACCACAGCAGACATAATGACAGGGCAAAAAAGAGAGGCCAAATGGAAGTGCTGCATAAATCCACATATCAGCCTCTCCCTGCACAGCTTTATCTACGGCAATTGGGAGAGAAACTAGTTTCCTTAGAAACTAGTCAAACTCTCGCTCTGCATCTATATCAGCTCCTAAAGCCAGTCAAAGGCTCAGTTCACAAACACGGCTGCGAAGTCACAGCTATCTGACAGTCCAAGCACCTCCTCTCCTATAGTTTTCAGCTCACCCACAGAAAGGGAGTAAGGGTGGCCAGGCTCTCAAGCTCTCACTGTCAAATCCTACACCCTAACCAGCATGTCAATTCCCTGTCCCCCAAGTGCAGGAAGAGAGTGTGAACCAATACAAGTGACATGAAAAAAATGGCTAAGAATATCAAATAGAAGCTTAAAAGGATACAAAGAATAAGTGAACAAAGATAGGAGAGGACAGGGGAAATGCTTACATGTGTTAAGAGGCTGGTAATCTTTCCAAAGCAGAACAGGAAAGGAATAGGGAAAAATAAAGTGAGAGAAGCAATAGTTGGTCAGCTCCATGGCAAAAGGATTTATCAAGTGAAGCTGAGACCCGCTGCTGTCACTTTGCTGTTACTAAGATACCTCAGAACATTTTCAGTGAAACAGAAGGGCTTTCTATGCAAAGGTGCATCAAAATGCAGGTCAGGTGGCATTTTAGGGCCCTGCTACAGATTTAAATTAAAGCTGGACAGAAACTAGTTATGGAGTTGCACATTTTCAGGCACTAACTTTATAGCTGGTTGGCTCTATTTTATAGCAGAACAGTCATTTTTATCATGTGCTGATTCCTTTGTTTATGCAGCTAGTCTAAATTTATTGCATGATTAACCAGTTAATTGCATAATATATGTAAGGTGTACTAGGAGCCTTATAAACCAGAAATATCAAACTTATCAGGCCCACTGGACAGGATGAGTGGTGCGGGGCTGGTCCATGGGCCAGATGAGGCCCAGACCAGCCCTGCACATAGCATGCACCAGACCAGTCCATACGTGCCTTATGCAGTCCCCAGGGCCTGCGCTGGTACGCACCACATGCAGCACCTGGGGCTGATCCAAGACCCATGGGCAGCACTAAGGGCCATAGCTTTGAAACCCCTGTTACAGATTAACTCGTTCAGAGGCATGAGCTTTCAGAGGATACTGTCTACTTCAGCAAATGCTATAGAGATGTTCGTGCTTCTCTGAACCAGTTCATCTCTAAGGTACAACCCTACCCAGTCTTCTGCTTAACATGGCTAACTATCTCACTCTAATCATCTTGTTGAGATGCATTTTACCTTGAGTCTTTACAGAAGGCAAAATATTTTGTCCTCTTGTCCCAGAATCAAAAAATTACCAAAAATTCTGCCTGGTTTAAGCCTTACAAAGATATAAGCTATAAGCATTTTTTTTTTGTATGTGCCAAATTTGACAAACCAAATCTCCTAGGAAAAAAATTTAATTTAAGGAGCCACTTAGAAGTGCATGAGCTCATTACTAACTTCTCAGCATCCAAATTACGTTCAGTGAATTTAAGGCAAAGAATTCATCAAGACATTTTAACTGTTCAAGACAATCTTGAATGGTGTCTTAAAAGAGAACATCAATTTCTCTTGGACTCAGTTTGGCTAAGTTTCAGAAATGGCTGTTCCAGAAATACCCAATTTGTAAGCTGTGTGCAGCCCATGGGGTCCTCACCTTACATTGTTAAATTCCCTGCTGATACATTTTCCTGAGCAGGGACCAAATCAGCGCTCCCACCAGGACCCCCTCAAGCCCCAGGGGGCGCACCCAGGCCTAGGGTCAGTAAGGATCTAGCCAGGAAACTTCTGGAGGGACTGGACGTATTTAAATCAGCTGGTCCTGACGATCTCCACCCCAGAGTGCTGAGGGAATTAGCTGAGGTCATTGCGGGACCCCTGGCATGGCTGTACGAGCACTCGTGGTGCTCTGCTGTGGTGCCAGAGGACTGGAAGAGGGCCAGCGTGGTTCCCATTTTCAAAAAAGGGAAGATGGAGGACCCAGGAAACTATAGGCCAGTTAGTCTTACCTCAATCCTGGATAAGCTTTTTGAGAGAGTTATCCTGGCACATGTCCATGAGGGGCCGGGGGGAGT